AGGGGCGCATACTGGGTCGTCGCGTATTGAATCCATTGCATTGTGTGGCGAGTGCACTGGACTTTGGGGTGCCGAGCGTTGAGGTTGTTGGCCAGTAATTGCCCCATGAGTTTGGTCGAGTTGCCTCCTCCGTCGTCGGATTTGTCAAAGAAAGAGGTGAGCATTGCAGATGCGAAGGGCGGTCCATTCACAGTAGACGCTATCGCGGGACGTTCGTAGTCTTGCTCGGATTTGCCTGGGGCGAAGATGCCATGCTTCCGCCGCAGGTGCCGTGTCATGGTCGATGTCCCGCCAGAGTATGCAAACACCGTGGCGCCAATGGGAAGGCAGTGGAGACACGCGATGGACTTCTTGTCCTCACTTCGCTGAAAGTGCTTCCAGATGAAACTCGTATTCGGCATCGCCTTGCGCCGCTTCGTCGCGGGGTCGTCGCCATGTTCGTCGCTTCCCCGCGATTCCATCTTCAACTGAACCGTGGTTGGACCGGTTTGTTCGTGGTTATCCGGATACGGTTAAAGCCAAAGTTGAAGCGGCGGCGATCATGGAGGCCATGTTGAGCCGCCGCCCGCTCCACTGGCGACGGACGCACTACTTGTCGGTGCAGCATGGACATCAGGGAGACAGTGCTTTCAAACGATACCTCATGGTTTGTGCAATCATGTCGGTGGTGACTCTGATTGCAGCCTGCAACGAACAAGATGCCCGTTCGTACTGCGTGAAGTTGCCATCGGCGAGTGCAATTGATCCAGGTGAGCCCCTGCTAAGAGCATGCGGACGTCACTCGTTCACATGAATAGAATGGAAGTGCACGCGTGCGAGAGAAAGCACCCACGTGCGGTTCTTGAACGGCGCACCTGTCGTTCATGTCCGCCTGCCGCTCCCGCCAGCAAGCAACTCGGCGGGACGCAGCGAAATCGAAGTGCTCCATCACGGTCGGTGGAGACCATTGCATGTGCGCAAACACCACAGCTCAAGCAAATGAGTTTAGGGGGTTGGTCCAGCGCAAACACTCTCCTTCATCTCCTTGCATGTGCATCGTGCCTTGGGACCATCATGGCACTGAAGAACCGTGCGGGACTTCGTGTTGCGCTCATATGGAGTGGCTCGGCAATGCTGTTTCTTACCGCGATTGCCACAGGTACGGCTTCATCGTAGCACCGACGGCCCATGCATTGCGCTAACTCGCACGTAGATGTAACAAGCGTCCTGGCATGGCGGCACGACTGCGTCCTCCTTGGGCTCGTCCTGGCGGACGAAGTCACCAACTCTATGCTTCGTTCGATGCTGTCGTCCATCGAAGCGGCCACCGTGTTGCAGAACGCGACCACGGAGTGCCACGCACGGCCTCAGATGCTGTGCTTCGCTGCCTTGTTCACGTTGACGGGGTGTATGTGTGGAGGCAGCGTGTTTGTGGCGCTCGCGCACGCTGGCCAGCCTGGTCCAACCCAACCAAACAATGCAATCGACGTTGTATAAACGAATGCAAAGCACGCAATCTGGTGGACTATACACGCAGCGTCCAACAGTCTAGTCCTTGTCTACGTTGCTGATAGCGCGACGGCATCGATACGAGCAGTAGCAGAACCCAAGGACCAGGATTGACAGCAACGAGATAAACACGATCCAGCCGAACGGAGGCGGGATCATGTTGATAAGCGTCTACCGAGAAACGAGTTACAGGTCGTGGCAACCACCCGTTTGGTGTGTCTCCATCCGCCACACGTTGCCTTACCAAGAGAACGTTGACGAGAGGCCCGGCAAACACCAAAAACGCAATGATCAATGCGCAAAAGAGGAAGCTCGAGCACGCTCCGTACGCCTTGGGGCCGAGCAGCGACTCGAGCAACGTGAGCGGGTTGAAAAGCGCTCTACCAAGCGGACAACGTGAGCCACACTGCCTGACAAACGAAGCTGTGGAGAGTTACGTCAGATGCAATCGATCCGCTGGCTCGGCCAACGTCGGGAATGCGTTGGGCTCGCTTCGACCGAGTCCCGCCGCGCGGATCTCGGCTTCGGCCTTGGGAATGATCTCGATCGCAAGGAGGAGCTTGCCCGCCTCGACGCGGGTCTTCGTGTGCGGGTCCACGGTCGTGCACGTCAGCCACGTGGCATCTTCCGGATCGTCGCCCATGCCAATGCGCGTCTTGAGCGCCTTGATCATCATGTCGACGCTCTCCTTCTTGTCTTCGATCTTGGGTTGGCGCTTCTCGACGTTGCGCTGGGACGTCGACCCCGACGATCCTCGCGTGAGCAGCGCGGTCGACTCGCCGCCTTCCAAGTCGACGTCTGGCCCCGCGCCAAACAAACTCGGCTGGTTCATCGGCTTCACAGTCGTCGTGGTGGATTTGACCTTGACAGGCTTTTGCTTGGCATACACATTCACGAGCTGCTTGGTCTTGTACGCGAGCTTCAGCGGCTCGGTCAAGTTGACGATCGTGTCGCTGAGGCAGTCGTCAAAGAGCATGTCTTTATCCCAGAGCTGGACGTGGAGATGACCTAATCGCAGAGCGATCAGGCACGGCGTGCACAGATCGACGTGTGTGCGCGCGCGCACCTTTGTCGCGCTCGTTTTGCGGGTCCACGGGCAGCGCAATGTCGAATTTCATGCGCCAGTTGAACGACGCTTTGCCGTTCTTGGCGCGCCAGTGGACGTCGGTGTGCTGGGCCTTGTCCGTGTTGGACTGCATCCAGCACTTGGCAAAGAGGTCGCTCATTTCGGAAAACTCGTCGCCCGGGACAACGTCCTTGGCTTTGTAAATCACGACGCGGACCTCAAACGTTTCGATCGGGGGCAGCGAAATGTCGACTGCCGGCAACGCCGTTGCCTCGGACGGCGTCAAAATGTCCAGCCACAAACGAAGCGACCCTTGCGAGATCACGCTCGACGGCGTGTACCTACAACAAACGACGATGAGTGTTCGCCGCGACGCCCGCGTCCACCACGTACAGCTGCCGCGTTTCCACGGGGCGGAATGTGCCCTCGGACAAGTGGCCCAGCGTGCGCCATCGATCGTCAAACCATCGATCTTCCAGATCGATCTTGGTTGCCCCGATAAAGTCGTCGCCGCAGTCTGCCGACAGCGAAAACAAATCGTAGTCAAAGCACTCGATGGTGAGCTCCTACTCTCAGTCGTCACACACACGATCATCGGCATGCGGCGTACCGACGCGCCAGGCAAGTTTGCCTTGAATTCGTACAGCGTGTGGAATTTGGGGTTGAGTGTCGCTTCGATGTACCGCGCCCGGTCGTTGACGATCGTGTCGTTGCCGAGCTTGAGCCGCAAATACGGATCCGACTTGCCATTTTGGTCCTTGGCTTGAAGGGCAAATGCGTCCAAGATGTACACCTGACACAATGGCGACGGTGGTCAGCCGCAGCACGACCGCGACCCCAACGTACTCGAATGACATACGGCTGTGGGTTGAGCAGCTCCTTCAAGTCGAACAGTGGTGGCTCGCTGCGACTGTGGATGACTCGAATCAAGCCCTTGAACTTGCCGACGGCATGATACGTCGACGCCGGCCCGCCGTACTTTTGCCCGCGAAAAATCTCGTACACTTCGAACGGTGTCGATTGCAAGTCCTCTTCGATCGTGCCAGCCATGACCTTGCGGTTTTTGAGGTATGCCGGGATTTCATCGTCGTCGGGCCCGATCTCGGGCACCGCCGACGACGGGGTGCGAAGGAACGGGGGAAGACCCGTGCCGTCGTCGGCGGCGGGCGGCGCCGTCGTTGCCATTGGGACAACGGGACCACCGTCCACGTGGGGATTGCCCAAATTGTATTTGGTGCATTCGCCTGCGATCGATGAATGCCAAGCACATTCCACGACGGGCTCGTACCGGGCGGCACGTACAGCGGGTTCTCGACGCCGTTCGAGAATGGCAGCTTGGTCGTGAGGTCGATGGAGCACGTGCCCAAGAGGGGCTTGTGGAACCCGCCAAGGAGCGTATCAAACACACTCAGGTTGAGCCGCGGGGCGAATTGGGCGTCCTCTGGCAACTGCAGCGGGATGATAATGCGTTCGAGGAAGTTGGGGTTCTGCGGCGTCGGCTTGGAGCTTCCCCCCGTCTTTTTCGGCCGATTCGACGAACTGACTTCGCCAATGTCAAACTAGAAATCGCAAAACGAGGGAGCGGGTCCGTCGGCGTGGGGTGGTCGCACCGACCTGCAAGAACGGCATGTGCAGCGGCATAAACCCAATCGGGCTAAGATCGCGCAACCCGAGGCATGTAATTTCCAAGAATTTTTCCTGCATCTTGGGCTTGATCGAAGACGGGGGCTCGATCACTTGGTCGGGAAAGTCCTTGGCGATGAGCGAGCACGACACGAGGAGCTCGCCCTCGCTCCCGTCGCCATCTTCGTCGTACGATAGCTTGTACCATCGGGGCTTTGGCACTGTGTACTCATTGGTGTAGTCACCGGCCGACAAGATGTCGACATCTACCAGCATGTCAGCGCGCCCGTCTCGACGAGCCACAAAAAACCTTGGAGACTGATGGCCACTCCGCCGACAAAGTCATCCTTGTCCCACCGGTCCCAATCGTACACCTGCAGCCCAATGCGCGGCTGGTGGGCTCGGTCCTATGCCAACGCGATGGGCTTTGCGTCCGATCCATTTTTCAGCGGCGACATCTTACCGTCGGGATGTTGATGTCGAACACGAGCGTCTCATAGTACATGGGATCGCGCGTTTTGATCTTGGTCGAGCTCTTGAGCCCAACGCCATTGCACGTGACCGCAACAAACGGATCCAAGAGTCCATTCGCGTCGGCGGCGGGCAACCCGCGGCCCTGGAACAAGTGCACCAGCAGCGAGTAGCTGGCATTCGGGCACTTGACATTCGGCAGGTCGTTCCACGCCGCCTCGGTCCGTCCCGATGCGCCCATGGGCTCGAGAGCAAGACGCAGGAGGATGCTGCCCGTGTACGTCGAGTCGGCCAGGTTGTCCAGCACGTCGTCTTCCATGAGCGAGATCCACTTGATCGGAGGCAGCTCGCCTAATTTTCCGTGTCATGAGAGGTGTCGCCAGGACTGACCACAGCCTCCTCGTACGCATACCTGTGCTGTTGATCACGTCGGCAGCCTTGTACCTGGCATAGCAAATGTTGCTCGCGACCGGCCCGATCGCGCCATGGACAAGGTAGACAAATACGTCCGGGGCTTGCGACAGGTCCGACGGCAGCGCGACGTTGGTGGCCTCGAGAAACTCGTTCCAGTGGCACAGGCCCTTGACATTGTCCACGCGGCTCGTCCACAGTGTCGTGCTTCCGCAGCACACGCGGACGCTCATGCGCGAGTTTTGGCCAAACCGCATCTTGCTCGCAAACGCGGGGATTTCCGTTCCCGACAAGACAAACGCGCGCAATGCGTAGCTGCACGGGACCTGCGTCAGGACCCACGCACGCCAGTCGGTGGCACGTACTTTTGCGTCGGCGGCGACGGCGTCGTCGAGAGCAAGTTGCGCGTATGCGGGATCTCGAGTGTGTTTTTGACCTCGGACTCGACGCGAAGCGAGAGAAGCACGCGGCCGCGATACGTCGACGCAGTGTCCGGCCGCGTATTCATGTCGAGTTTGTGCTTTGTGTTGAACTGGAGGAGGCGCGAGTCTTCCGGGGCCCCGTACAAGTTGCTCCAGATGCGCTGAAACAACCTAGCGCCATCGTGACGGTAGACACCTCCCGCCACTCGACGTACGTGGGGTGGTCCTTGACTTGGTTGAAATAGTACGGACGGCACGTCGCGACGAGCTCGTCGTCCGAGCCGCGGTCCCAATCCCACACGTTGATCTTGATCAAGTTGGACATGCACGGGAGCAAAACGGGGAACCACAACTCCTGCAATGACACACAACCCTCCACGATGAGCCAAAGACACGGTGGGACCGACTGACCTGCTGGAATTCGACGTCGCTACCCTTTGTCGACACGGTGCGCGTCGTCAGCGGCTTCTCGCCGGCAAACTGGACCTTCACATATGCATCGATGCCGCCCTTGCTGACCATGGCTACGTCGGACGTGAGCGATGGGTCGTGAGAAGCAACGTACTTTTGTCCATGTTGGGAAGGCCTTCGGCGCGGTGAACAGTCACCACCAAAAAGTGCAGCGCTTGCGACAGCCGTGGTGGCATCAGCACCATTTCGTTTTCTTCCTTGACATCCTGCACACGGTTCATTCAGCCAAGGGAGGACACTGCTCCATCGAGACCACTTGCCGTGACGTCGTGGATATGGTACTTGTCGCCCGGGCCCAGCACAGCAATCGACAACCTAGATCGAGCGGCGACATGATGTCGGGATGCACCGAGGGAGACCGTACAAGAGGTAGCCCTGCACGCCTTGCTCGCTCTCGCCCGCGCTCTTGACGAGGGCGACCCATTGCCGATACATTTCGTGGTTCTTCTGATAGTACACGTACGGCACGTCGATGCGAAAGTACCCAATCTTGTCGGCGACGCCAAATGGGCCGTCGGCATCCTTGACCGTGACTTCGATCGACGCGCCCTCGACCGCTTCCTTGTCGAGATCTTTCAAGTTGAAAAACATGAGGTGGTCAAAGACGCAGCTGAGCTGGTTGGGCTTGACAGACGTGTGCTGGGACTGGCCCAAGCAGTCGACAAACACGACCGGATCTGCCGACCCGTTGGCGTCCTGCGGCACCAGATCACGCACTTCGATCACGCGGACTTGGATTTGGTAGTCGCCGTTCTTGAATTCTACTTGCTGCAGTTCTTCGAGCATCTTCTTTTGCTCCGCTTCTCGTTGTTTAATCTCTTCGTCCGTTTCCTTGGCGTTCTCGGGCGTCTACGCACACGCGTTGGAGTGCCCGCGAAACGAGAATGCAGAGGGTACTTCGTCCACAGCGCCGTTCGACCCGGACTCGCCGCCATCGCCCGCTGCATACACTTCCGAGTCGGTCTCGCCCTGGGCCAACCGATCCAACGCGCATTCGAGCGTACACGGCTCGATCGCAACGTGAAGTTGGCCCCACCCAAGCTCCGTGGGCTCTTCCTCGTTCAGATCTACCACAACATGTCAATCCATGGCAGTCGACGAGAGCAGGGACAATACTCGCGCGGCTCGGGTTCTTGGTGTTAGGTCCCAGGCTCAGCCACATGTCCGTCTTCGTGCCGCCGAATTTCTCAACCCACTCGCGAACGTCGATCGCCAGGAGCCCCATAAAGTCTGTCCCGAACACGTCTTGGTCTTCGCACTGGAGCGTCAAGACCGTGCTGGCATACTTCGTGTTGGGGTCGATCGCAAAGTAAAACTTTTGTCGCCACTTGGGCGCCAACGATTTCTTGATGACCTAGGATGGCCACGTTTTCGAGCATGACGGGTCGTGGGGCGGACACATACCTTTGTTTTCAGCGGCTTCACGGTGCTGCCCCCCATCGACAGGATGACAAAGGGATCGCTCGTTGCGTCGGCACCGGTACCATCCAGAGCTTTCAATCCTTTGCCTTCAAGCACACTCACGGCGAGTACGTTGTACGTCCACGCAGCCGCAGGGGCAGCGACGGCCGCGCCATCGCCTCCCTCTGCCAATGCCGGCGGTCCATCCAGACTTGCCGGGTCTTCCGACATACTGGCCACTTTGTTCAACAACGGGGGAGCAGTTCCCACTCCTTGCATGAGATCCACGAACACTTCGACGACGAGGTCGCCGGTCGCCGCCTGGGGTACACCCAGGGTTAATTGTATATTGGAGACCACCTCCGACGTACCTTCTTCATGCTTCGATGGGTTTCAAGCGGCAGCGTCAATTTGTTCTAACGCGCTGACACATGAACATCCTGACGCTGTACACATCGTACCCATTGATTCGGCAAGAGCGGTTCGAGCGCCACGGTCACTTCGCCGAGATCTTCGGCCGGCCCGAGGACGTTGTGGTCCTTGACGCGAAAGTGGAGCGACGTGGTCGAGAGGTCGAGGAGAACCGATTCCCCGAACCGAAACTCTTCGTGCCATTGAGGATTCAACGACTTTTTCACTTCCTTGGTCTTGCTCGTTTCTGTGCCACACGTCACACGCACATCTAGGCAACGACCGTGTCACGGGATGGCAGCGTCGACAGCGGACGTACAAGGGTCCGATGACGGCCCTCCTCCACCAAGGATGTTGCTGTCCAGCGCCAGCAACTTGCTCGCAGACACAACTTTGACACGCAGCAACGGCATCGTCACCGACTTGGGCGGACCAAATCAACTTTTGCCCCGATCTAACGCGTCTGTCATGGGAACGTCATTTCATGCCACACGACGAGATGCATCATATCATGCAAATAATTTAATTTCATCGCGATACCCATTCATGAATACTAGCAGTAAGTTGTATCACGCTACAGGAATTGGCGGAAAAATTTAAATAGAATGCATACGATACAATTACGTTTTTTTACGTATCTTCCGTCGGTGCTACTTTGCAAGAAGATATTCCGACCTTTGTCAAAAAGTAAATTTGTTTCACTTGAACTCTCGTGTGACTTTGCATCGACATGTGTGGAAGGAATAGATCCAACCCCCCAGAGCAGTCATGTGCTCTTGAAAAGTAGGATGTTGCATGCGACTGGTCTAAACAAGTCCATAAAACAACGGGTGTTCATGAGAATGAACCTACAAAGTCCACATTCATAGGAATTGTATCGCGATGAAAAAATAGAAAATTCTATTCATGGTATACAAACATGTATACAAACTTTTGATTTTTTTCGTACATTCGAATCGTGGTCGTCGTGATGCTAGTCAATGAGGATGATAGGTCGCGTTTTGTCGCCGCTGCATCGCCCCCTCGACATGCTCTTGCACACCAGTCAAGCACTCGGCAAAGTTCTGCTGCTCCATCGCCCCCTCGACATGCTCTTGCACACCAGTCAAGCACTCGGCAAAGTTCTGCTGCTCCATCGCCACCAGGGCGAGGGCTGCTGGCTCCCGCTCGTGGATGCCTTCCGCCATGGTGGCGCAACGTTCGTACTGCCTAACTCTAAATATTCATATTGCGTGGTCCATCATGTACAAGCGCTATAGCCCGTGGGGCGGAGTAACGAGGACGTGGCGACTCATGTCGTCACGGGCTAGTCGCCCGAGGACGCGTCCTCGTAGACAGCATACTTATCACGGATCGCTTTTGCTTCGCGGTGTTTGACAAACGCGTAGAATGCAATCGCGAGCACAACGACCGCGAGGAAGATGGCGCCGACCATCATTCGAGTGAACTTGGTCTTGTACTTGTTGGCGTCCTTGACTGGGTTCGCCACGTGGCCATCCATGGCGCCACCGTCCAGGCCAAAGAGTCGCTGCGCCATCGCGTCCGAGATGTCGAAGCGGAGAGGATACACGTTGGCTATGCAGGATGTGTCCATCGAGGCCAGCGCACCGTTCTCTCGGAGGTACGCGGCGAGAATGACCATTGCACACGGAGGGCCTGGACGAATGCTCGCCACGGGAGTGGACGTGATAACGCCGTGGACCGCGACGGGGAACTCGAGCAGGCGCTTGTTCGATCCTTCCATGTTCTCAAAGTGGCGCCGGGCGTGTGTGGCGGGTGTGACCGGGTCCAGCTTGCCCGCGAGGCCGAGCACGGACGTCCCATTCGGAACCCCCGCGGTCTTGTTGAAGTACTTGTCGACCTGGTAAGTCCACACGGGAGCCGTCGCGTTGGCCCACGGCGCGCAGTTGGTCGCATTCGAGCGCGTGTACAGGCAATACCGGCCAACTTCGTCCGAGTTGATCTGGGCCATCGGCGACGCCATAAACTTTTGTGCGAGGTCGGCCATCGATGGGGTCAGGACGTGCCAGAGCTCGGCGAACCCAATCGTGTCGTGGAGGATGCCAGACGACATCGTGTCCGAATGATCGGGCGATTCCATCAACAGCGCCGTCAGCAAGGTCTTGTCTTGGTCGTTGCAACGACGAACGCGGGCGGCGAACGTCGGGATGAACACCCGGCGGTCCAAGTCGCCCAGCAACGCCGCGAAAAACTGCCGCAGCACGACCGACGGCGTCTCGTTGAGCGTGCGATAAAACAGCGACGAGCATGCCGACGCGTTCGAGTCCAATGTTTCGTACAGGTTGAAGAGCGCGGCCGTCGCGTTCGGCCCGAGGAGCTCGCCGCACCCGGCCGTGTCTTTGGAGCACAGGTCGAGAAATTGCCGACTCACGGCGTTGAGATCGTCGTTCGAGTTGGTAAAGACTTGACTGTTGCTGCCGTGGTGATGGTCCGCGACGATGCTGTCGAGGATATACCCCTTGACTTGCGGCGGTGAAAAGTGCATCACGCGCTCCACGAGCAACGTCCCGTAGCTCACGCCATACAGGTACACGTCGTAGTCGGCGAGTTCGGTTTGAATCAACGTGGTCACATCCTTGGCGGCGTTTGTGACCGAGAATGCAGCGGCGGCATTGCCGCCAAATTGCAGCCTCAGGTCGTTCAAGCAGCCTGGAAGTTCGTCCAGCGTAATGGCCGTCCCCCCAAGTCCCCCCGAGCACTGCGCTTGGGCTGCCGGGCAGTCCAAAAACCCACTTCGCCCCGTTCCACGATGGTCCAATGTGAAAATGTGAAACTCGCCAAACAGGAGGTCGTGCACGTTCGACATGAGCGACTCCATCGCGACAGACGACGCGCCGGGGCCACCCTGCAGCATAAACAACACCTTTTTGCTACCCGATACCGATGCCGAGAGCTTCTTTACGAAGAGCGGCATCGACTTGGTCGGGAGGGGACTGGCCGCGCATGCCGTGCCATTGTGGCAGAACGGCATCGTGAACTCGGCGCACTGAGTAAACATGTTGGCGATGCGGGCTTTGAGGTTTTCGTACGGCCCAAACGCTGAAGGCACGAACGCCCCGAGCGCGTGGCGTCGAATGGACAACGACGCAGACCACGCTTCCGCTCGCGGCGGTAGCGCAAACGTATTGATCGAGCAGTTGTACCATCCGTTTCGCATGATGCTGGCAACAGGCGTCGCGCCAGCCGCGATGGTCCAAAGGACCGCGAGCTCGACAACCACCGTTGCGCTCCGCATATCCACCGTCAGTGGGAGGAACGCTAATGGCTGATCCCGACGACGCCGCCGCTTCCACCTGAGCCAGGGGCTTCGCGGTGTCCACGGGCGTTTGTATGCTCAGAGGTATGCGAGACGTGGGTGATAATAGCTGGCGGCCCAACCCCACCTAGATGCAGAGGGACCTTCGGCCCATGCGTCGCGATGCACTCGTCGTCCAGCAACAAATATTAGTTTTTCGAGGTTCGACAGTTACCCAAGGAAACCGGCTTATCAAGATGTAGAGGCACCTGCATGATGCATACGCGGCCGTGAATGGCGTGACGTCCATGGAATCCGGGGTGTTCCGTCAGCATGTCCCGACGTACAATTCGATCCATGCGCCGACGCAGCCATGGCGCGTGGTCGATGGTGTTCTAAAATCTCGTGATTGTGTAGAGCACGAGGCTACAGACCCGTAGAACTTGATAAATATTATGTTGAACAGGTTATGTACTTATACGAGGGAATACAGACCATGACAAAATGTTCCTGCCAACTCTGGGACACGGGATGCCGCGAGACGTGCGGTCAGCTGGTCCACGCAGATGAGCGTTGTCGGGCATCGGCATCTCGACATGCCCTCATACCAGAGAGCTCTATCGCACGTGCTCATGGCATCTGGCACTTGGATGGTCGCCTCGCATGGAGACCTTACCAACTCAACATCACATCCTCCTAACGCTAGAGTCCATGATGGCGTGAGGTACAGCGGTGGGGTCGAACGGTAAGGTGCGGTGGAGCGTGGGGTGATGGTTCCTCACCACCCGTGACACACAGCCATCGTAACAGAGAATACCCGCTTTCGCGGTCACAGGTCAACCGGTGGGAAGGCAAACGAGGCAATGCAGAGAGTGGCAAGCTCATTCGCGTTGCAGTTGAGCAGAACTACGGTTCGCGTTCTGGCGTCTTTGGACGGGTCGAAGT